ACCCCTCGGGACAGGGATATAGGGACACCCCCCCGGGACAGGGACACCCCTCGGGACAGGGATATAGGGACATCCCCCCGGGACAGGGACACCCCTCCCTGGGTCTGGGACACACCAGGACAGGGAGGGATACACACAGAGTGGGATAAGGACACAGAATCCTGGGACAGGGACACCAGGACATGGGCACACTGGGATAGGGACACACTGGAGCAGGGACAGGAAACCTTGGAACAGGGACACCCTCTGGGACTGGGATAGGGACACCAGGACACCCCCCCCCAGGACAGGGACACCCTGGGGACATGGACACACTAGGACAGGGACACCCTGGATTGGGACTCATCAGGACAGGGGCACCCCCTGGGATCATCCCTGTGCTCTGGAGGAGCTCCCAAATCCCATAGGATGGAGGCAGAAGGACACCCACCCCCTCCAGGTGTTTTCGAAGTGTCCATGGAATGTTTTGGAGTGCCATGGAATCTTGTGGCTTCCCTTAGGCATTCATTGCCTTAATTCCTCCTGGATGACTCAGCAGGGGGTAATTAACACTTCATGTGAGTCTTAATGGGTGTGCCAGGATTCCCCTCTGGAATTCCACATCAAAAATAGGATTATCATTCCCAGGCACACCAAAAAAACCCAAAGGGATTTCCAATCCCAGACAGCTCTTCCCACCCCAATCCCACAGTTTCCTACCTTCTCCCTAAATCCTGGATGGAATTTTCCAGCCTGGGAAGTTCCCCATGGAGCCAATTCCTGACTCCTGCTTGGCTTTGCCTCCCTCAGCTCTGCTCAGGAGATGAAGCACATGGAGAAGCTCTCCAGCCTGTTCCAGGGCAGCGGCTCCGGGGAATGCCAGCGCTCCGATCCACCCGCGGAGCGGGAAGAGCCCTGGGAGCTGATCATGGACAAGAAGCACTTCAAGCTGTGGCGAAGGCCCATCCAGGGCTCCCACCTGTACCAGTACAGAGGTACTGGAATTCTTGGGAGCTTCTCCCTGTGCCCAATCCCTTGGGATTGTGCCTCACACGTCCCTGTCCTCACAGAACCCCAGACAAACTGGGAATTCCCATCCTCTCCCATCCCCTTTATCCCTCTCAGAGGGCCTGGAAATCCACCTTGGCCTTCTGGGCTTGCACTGGGATAAGGATTTGCTTATTCCTGGGATGTGTTTTCCACAGTGTTTGGATCCTACACGGATGTGACTCCCAGGCAGTTCTTCAATGTGCAGGTGAGTCCCTTTGGAATGTCACTGTGGGCTGGGATAGAGCTCCTGCCATGGGGAAACTGGGAATATTCCCTTCCTTTGTGCTGCTGATGTGATCTCAGGCTCATCCCAGGGAGTT